TCTCTGTTTGATTTTGAAGACATCGGATTTTCTGGTGGAAACCTTGATGGCACCAGCGTGTACCCTCACAAAAGAGTCTGCCAACATGGCAAATAAATCTATTGAATTTGGGGGTAGGTTATGATACCACATCATAGCCCCCTTCGACAGTGTTTCTCCAAATTTCTTCAGTAAGATGGGTTCACTTTCGTCATTCCCTTTTACAGCACAAGTATAAGCGGTAACGTGCACATTGGGGTCCGTGGTCCCGTTATAATTCAGTACATCGGGCATTCTAAATTTATTTAGGATAGGCTTCGGAGCCGCACTTGATGGGAACGGTCTCTGCATGAACTTCTTTGAATTTATACCCTTCAGAATCGGGGGTGCCCCGGGGATCTGATCGACCCTCGAGTTATAAGTCTCTATTTTTTTGTCGTTAGCCTCTATCTTCTTTTCTCTTGATTCAATCCTTTTGGTAAAGTCCTTGAGCATCTTCATAATAGCGCGGTCCATTGCTGACCCGTTGTTACTCAATCTCTCTGGTGCCTGCTCGACTCGAGGAGCCATTTCCGGTGCTGCTGTGGTTGGAGTTTTTTGTTGACTTTGCAGCTGAGCAATAGCCACTTCTTGTTCTTGCAACATTTCAAAAATGACTTGGAGGCTGACTCCTCCTTATTCCATTCCTCGTGTTTCTTGGCCTCCAGCCTGGTCTTCCCTGCGTTCGTTCCTTACGGGGTCTGCGCCTGCTTCCGTGTTTAGAACGTTGTGGGAGCTGATATCAACTTGCTCCACGTTTGGTACTCCCTCGGGGTTTACATGTAGTACACCCAGCCGTATGCCGCTATTTTCTCCAAGTCCTTCACTGTCGTGAAGAGGTGCATTTTGTGTGCTAGACATGATTAAGCCTGGAATCAAAGAATCTTTGACAAGAAAAAGTGTGAAGAGTAATGTGTGCTATCAGAAAACTTGCACCAAAACAATCGCTATTATTTTTAGACCCACGGTGGGCGCCAAACTGTTTACCTTGAAAATAGTATTTATAATTATATTTGATTTGTGGTTCTAAAATTACGTGATTTATCTTAATACTAGTTGTTAGGTAAATAATCCTAAGTGTAAATGAGCAAGAGATGATAAGCAAACCCATGTGGTCACAAGGTTGAGGGCCTCGAGCTCGGCAATATGGGACCTCGAGGGCAGCCTTTAAAGGTTGATGATGAGCAATAAATGAAGAACAATAAATGAGCAAGAGATGATAAGCAAACCCATGTGGTCACAAGGTTGAGGGCCTCGAGCTCGGCAATATGGGACCTCGAGGGCAGCCTTTAAAGGTTGATGATGAGCAATAAATGAAGAACAATAAATGAGCAAGAGACGAACAATGAACAAACAAGCAATAACTATGTAGAGTAATTGTTGAGCACGTTTAAGCAAGAAAAGTAGAGAATGTTCTATTGTATTCAATGTTGTATATTATTCAACAGTTTCCCTTCTTACAAAATGACAAGGGTCCCCTTTATATAAGAGGGGGGAATCCCAACATAGTACATGTATAATAATAAAAAGGAAATGCTATTGGTACAGCTGTATAATGACTTAGTACGAATTGGTATTATTCTTGCAGACCTGGTCAGCTCTAACCATGTGTATTTGAGAATTTTCCTGTCGTTCCATGACTATCATCGATTGTACTACTCCGAGGTCGACCATAGTGAGCCTTCTATATGCTCCCTCGAGGGACACACCTCGGGGTCGCACCTCACTCTTTGCTTCGGGCTTCTTCGAGGTTAGGCGTGGGGCGGCATAGTAGCCCCAAAGCCGAACTCCCCAATTTTGGCCTTATACAGCCTTATTCAAATCTTTATAATCTACACACATTCTTTGTTTGTTCCTTTTCTTAGGAACTACTACTACGTTTGCTAACCACTCCAGGTATTTGACCTCCCGGATAGACCTTATTTTAAAGAGTTTAGTTACCTCGTCCTTGATGAAGGAATGCTTGATCTCGGACTAGGGTCTTCTTTTCTGCCTTACCGGATGAAACTTCCAGTTCAAGATCAGTTTGTGAGTAGTGATATCCGGTGGGATCCATGTCATATCGAGATGGGACCAAGCAAAATAATCCAAATTAGCTGTAAGAAACTGAATGAGTTTTTTCCTGAGCTCGGGAGTTAACCCCGTGGCCAGGTATACATTTCAATCGGACAGATGTTCGATCAGCACGACCTACTCCAACTCTTTGACCGTTGATTTGGTAGCATTGGAATCATCGAGGGCAATAAATGATTGAGGAACCTTGTAATCGTCTTCGTCACTCCCTTGCTTGTCCGATTGGGTCGAGACTGGCATCGATGATTGCTATTCGACTTCATGTTTTACTTTCAAACCTGAGCCCTTTGTCGATGAGAGTGCTGATATTGGAATTACTTCATCGATGGAAAACATCTCCTTTGCGGCGGGTTGTTTCTCGTAAATCGTCTTTATCCCTTCTAGTGTTGGAAATTTTAATACATGGTGAATGGTCGAGGGCACGACCCTCATATTGTGGATCCATGGTCTCCCGAACAGGGTGTTGTATCTCATGTCCCCCTCAATTAAAATAAAACTTGGTTTCTTGGGTGGTACCGACTATGTTTACCGACAACGTTATTTCTCCCTTAGTAGTTTCACAAGCCATGTTAAACTCGTTCAGCACTCGGGCTGCAGGTACGATCTGGTCCTGTAGGCCGAGTTATTCTACGACCCTCTATCGAATGATGTTGGCCAAGCTACCTGGATCAATTAGCACACGTTTAACTCGAGTTTTATTTATAAGTACAGAAATTACCAGTGCATCATTATGGGGTTGCATGATACCTTCTGCATCCTCGTCGTTGAAAGATAGAGTCCCTTCTGGCATGTAATCTCGAGTCCGCTTTTCCCTTATGATTGATACTTTGGTGTGTTTTATCATCGGACCTTGAGGAACATCGACCCCACCGATGATCATATAGATGACGTGTTGAGGCTCGTCTTGTTCATTTTGTTTATTGAAATCTCTGTTTTTGAAATGATTCTTAGCTCGGTCGCTTAGAAATTCTCAAAGATACCCATTGTTAAATAACCAGGCTACTTGTTCTCTCAATTGTCGACAATCCTCCGATCTGTGGCCATGTGTGACATGATATTTGCATATTTGGTTGGGATCCCTTTGTGTTGGATCAGTTTGTAAAGGTCGAGGCCACTTGGTATCTTTGATGCGTCCAATGGCCGATACGATGGCAGCTGCGTCCACATTAAAGTTGTACTCCGATAATCGTGGTGCCTCTTTGGGACCGATAGATCTGTCGAAGCTGTTCTTGCTCATGAGTCCCTATGAACCTTGACCTCGATCATTTCTTCTTTCATTTCGTGCAGAGTTTCGCCCAGATCTACTGCTACTACGATCTCCATTATATGGCTGATATCGATCTTTATTCGACCTTGGTTCTCGGTCAATATCCCTTTTGATTCTATCGACAGGTCTGATAGGATAAACGGACCCATAAGGAGCCCCAAGTTGATCGTCCTCGACCCTGATCTTTGATTGATACCGATTATGCACTTTGGCCCAAGTGACAGCCGTGTATTCTATCAAATTCTGCTTTAATTGCTGTGAAGCTACTGAACTTCGAACGTTGATTCCTTGAGTGAAAGCTTGAACAGCCCAATCGTCAGCGACTGGTGGCAAGTCCATCCGTTCCATTTGGAATCGAGACACGAATTCTCTAAGAATCTCGTTGTCCTTCTGCCTTACCTTGAAAAGGTCCGACTTCCTGTTTCAACCTTGATGGTCCCGGTGTGGGCCTTTACGAAAGAATCTGCAAGCATAGCAAATAAATCAATAGAATTAGGTGGTAAATTATGGTACCATATCATAGCTCCCTTCGACAGGGTCTCTTCGAATTTCTTTAGCAAGAAAGATTTGATCTCGTTATCCTTTAGATCATTCCCTTTGATAGCACATGTGTAAGAGGTGACGTGCTCGTTCGGATCGGTCGTTCCATTATACTTAGGAATCTCGGGCATGTGGAACTTCTTGGGGATTGGCTTCGGAGCCGCACTCGGGGGAAAGGTTTTGTAAGAACTTTTTGGAATCCAGTCTCTTTAATATTGGCAGTGCCCCCGGAATTTGATCGACCCTGGAGTTATAAGTTTCCACTTTCTTATCGTTTTCCTCGATCTTCTTTTCCCTCCAACTCGATTCGCTTTGTCAGTTCTTTGAGCATCTTCATGATAGCATGATCGGTCTCCGATTCTTTCTCGCTCGATTTTCTTGAAACCGATTCGACCCTTTGTACAACTTCCTAGGATAGCTCGAGTTCGACCCTGCTCGGTATGTGATTTTGGTTTTGGAGCTGGGCTATTACTGCATGCTGATCCTGCAACATTTCAAAGATCATCCGCGGGCTGATCCCGCCATCTTCACCGCCACGTGCGCTTTGAGCGACTGATCGGGCATCGCCACGGACGCTGCCTTCGGGATCGACGGCCAAATTTCCGTTGATGCTATATGCGAACTGACATCGATTGGATCTACCGCCGGAACTTCAACGAGTCCAACCGGGGGTACATCGTTCCCTGGTGCTATGTTATCATTTGTCCCGTGGTGGCCGAAATCATTGTCATCGTGTAGAGATGCTAACTGAGAGTTTGACATTTTTTAGTCCTGTAATCAAAGATACTTCAAAGAACAAGTGTAAAATAGTGTGTGTCATGAAATTTTGTACCACGTAACCACTATTATCTTTAGCCACACGGTAGGCGCTAAGTTGTTTACCCTAAAATCGGTTAACAATTGAATTTATACGTGTTTTTAAGGATACGTGATATAACTTGGTACAAATTAAGAAGAATAAATTAATATTGAAATTGACGATAAAAGAATAAATGCAAACCAGACGGGTTTAATAGCCTTGGCCTACGAGTTCAGTCACCCTTGAACCAAAGATGTTTCAACTTACTTATGAACATAGTAACAAGATAATAAAAGCTAGAAAATGACAGTATATTGCTTTGTATTGCGTGAATATGATGTGTTTTATCAGACCCCATTTATATAGTAGGGAGTCCTACTCTTGATACAGTTCTATATGAGGTAAGAAATCTCATGATTAGCTAATTAATCNTACTGGTTAGTACTAGTCCTTCCATGATCCAAATTTTTCTGCCTGATGAAATAATTTTGAATTAATAAATAAATTTTTACAGGTATTGTGTTGGACTCTGGTGATGGTGTGAGTCACACCGTCCCTATCTATGAAGGTTATGCTTTGCCCCATGCCATTCTTCGTTTGGATCTTGCTGGTCGTGACCTTACTGATAGCCTGATGAAGATCCTCACTGAGAGAGGATACATGTTCACCACCACCGCTGAACGGGAAATTGTCCGTGATATGAAAGAAAAGCTTGCCTATGTGGCTCTTGACTATGAGCAGGAACTTGAAACTGCCAGGAGCAGTTCCTCCATTGAAAAGAACTATGAATTGCCAGATGGACAGGTTATTACTATTGGTGCTGAAAGGTTCCGTTGCCCGGAAGTTCTCTTCCAACCATCGATGATCGGGATGGAAGCTGCAGGTATCCATGAGACTACCTACAACTCCATCATGAAATGTGATGTGGATATTAGGAAGGACCTCTATGGTAACATTGTTCTCAGTGGTGGCTCCACCATGTTCCCTGGTATTGCTGATCGGATGAGCAAGGAAATCACTGCTTTAGCTCCAAGCAGCATGAAGATTAAGGTTGTTGCGCCACCAGAGAGAAAGTACAGTGTCTGGATTGGAGGATCCATTCTTGCATCCCTCAGCACATTCCAGCAGGTGAGCTTTTATTCTTGTGGGATTAATATNCTATTCTTTTGTTTTTACATAAAGCCCCGGTGATAGCTAAATTTTTAATGTGAATGAACTGTATAAGTTTTTTAATGAATAATTTGTGTTTGAAATGTAGGCTGGATTTGCTGGTGATGATGCTCCTCGAGCAGTGTTTCCCAGCATTGTGGGTCGCCCTCGGCACACTGGTGTTATGGTCGGAATGGGACAGAAGGATGCTTATGTGGGTGATGAAGCTCAATCCAAGAGAGGTATCTTGACCTTGAAATATCCTATTGAGCATGGTATAGTCAGCAACTGGGATGATATGGAGAAAATATGGCATCATACTTTCTACAATGAGCTTCGAGTTGCTCCTGAAGAACACCCTGTTCTCCTGACTGAGGCACCGCTTAATCCTAAGGCCAACAGAGAGAAGATGACCCAGATTATGTTTGAGACATTTAACGTTCCAGCTATGTATGTTGCTATTCAGGCCGTGCTCTCATTGTATGCTAGCGGTCGTACCACTGGTTAGTACTAGTCCTTCCATGATCCAAGTTTGTCTGCCTGATGAAATAATTTTGAATTAATAAATAACTTTTGACAGGTATTGTGTTGGACTCTGGTGATGGTGTGAGTCACACCGTCCCTATCTATGAAGGTTATGCTTTGCCCCATGCCATTCTTCGTTTGGATCTTGCTGGTCGTGACCTTACTGATAGCCTGATGAAGATCCTCACTGAGAGAGGATACATGTTCACCACCACCGCTGAACGGGAAATTGTCCGTGATATGAAAGAAAAGCTTGCCTATGTGGCTCTTGACTACGAGCAGGAACTTGAAACTGCCAGGAGCAGTTCCTCCATTGAAAAGAACTATGAATTGCCAGATGGACAGGTTATTACTATTGGTGCTGAAAGGTTCCGTTGCCCGGAAGTTCTCTTCCAACCATCGATGATCGGGATGGAAGCTGCAGGTATCCATGAGACTACCTACAACTCCATCATGAAATGTGATGTGGATATTAGGAAGGACCTCTATGGTAACATTGTTCTCAGTGGTGGCTCCACCATGTTCCCTGGTATTGCTGATCGGATGAGCAAGGAAATCACTGCGTTAGCTCCAAGCAGCATGAAGATTAAGGTTGTTGCGCCACCAGAGAGAAAGTACAGTGTCTGGATTGGAGGATCCATTCTTGCATCCCTCAGCACATTCCAGCAGGTGAGCTTTTATTCTTGTGGGATTAATATTCTCCATTTCAAATACATTCTAGTTAGACTGATTTTTTGTTGTCTTTGTGCTTAATCAGATGTGGATCTCAAAGGGTGAGTATGATGAGTCTGGTCCTTCCATTGTCCACAGGAAGTGCTTTTAAGGTGTTGTTATTTTACTTAAAGTGCAAGTTTCCTCTTTGTTTTCCCGCTTTTGCTAGTATGTCCCCAGTAAATTTGGTTTTGCTGGGATGGATAAGTTTGGAGGTGGTGGGGCTATGAATGGAGGGCAACAAACAATTATTGCCAGTGTATCTCATGTTTCAACTCAATTTGGGTTATCTTCTCAGCATATTTGTGAGGTGCCGCCTGCAGTGTCCTTTTTGGCCTGGCACCATCACCATCCCCAGCTCCAAGTCTTTTCTCTTCTAGGTTGGTTGTAGTTTGAGGAGAGTGATTGTGTTGTTTTTTTCCTTGTCTTCTCTCATTTTCTTCTTTATCTGGATTCGCTCTTTTGTGGTTCTTTTTATTTCTTAAAACACTTTATGTTAATATTTATTGAATGAGAAAGTTTCTATTTTAGTGTCAGTTTGAGGAAATCACTGCTATTTTGTGTGGATACAGAAATTCTGAAACGCATATTGACATAATCTTCTAGGCGTTTTCAGCAAATGTTTGAGGCTAAAAACGTCGATGCAGATTACCCTTGGATGATGAATCTACACTTTGTAATATATTTGTTTCTTTCCACGAATTCAATATATATTTATTAAATATGGCCTTTTGTCTTAGTCGGGACAAACCTCCTGGTCAATTGGAGGGATTTTCAATTGTATTTCCATGAGGTAATTGATGATTGGTTTAACCTAGTTTAAAATGGCCAATTTGCCTTTGTGCCAAATGATTTTGGCTATACAGCTATACAATCATCGAGGAATTATATTGCAACACGATAAAACCAAAATTTGATGCATCGTTTTCCTATAATGGAACGATATGTAATTTAATCTTGGAGGAATGTTTATCTGAAGAAAACAACAAAAGATAATAGACTTTACAAAAGGGGATGTTAGAACCGCACGCCCTTGGCTTGGCTTGCAGAACTTCAAATCTCCCGAATGTAATTTTCAATTTGACTTTAAGAACTCAGAACGCAATTATAATAAATTTATAAGTTATAAGTTTTCAAAAATATTGAATTATTTGTGTTATTATGATTTCGCGCAGAGAAAAAGGAGGGGTTGAGATCTTTGTGATTGTCAATTTTCTATAGAAAATGCAAGCAGAATGAGGAGTCGCATCCTCTTTTTCTTTTTTCTTCTTTCTGGTGTTTCTTACATCTTTAATTGCGAGTGGATGTGGCTCATTATTTAATTGTGTGCCTCTACAGTGGCATATTCCATATCTATTTAAACAAAGTGAGGATCATAAACTAGAGACTTTTAGTATAGGGAGTCCAATTCTTCAGGCCCTTAATTTCCCCAAAGCAAAACGTGCATGGTGTGTTCCCTGCTCCTCAAAGTGGAAGAAAAATAAAAAAGAAAAAGGGTTGGAAATTGACATTTTTTTCTTTCTTACAATTATCATTAAGCAAATATTATTACCACAACAACAATAACAAGCTTAGTGTAATTCCTCAAATAGAGTTGGAGAGGGCAGTGTGTATGCAGATCTTACCCCTACCTTGTATAGATAGAGAGACTGTTCTCGATAGACCCTCCCTCGGCTGATGACAAACATAATCGCAACAGTTATAAAAATAAATACGGTAGTGGAGAAATCATGAGAAAAAGCAGGAATAAAACAAGATAATGAGATAATCAAAGCACAATAAACAACCGGTAGTATCAAAATCTAAGGAAAAGAAAATACACGAATAATACAGATACATCAGGTATGCATTAGATAGATGCTCGACTACCTACTAGCATTCTACCTTAATTCTCGACCTCCACACTCTCCTAGTAGGGGTCATTTCTTCGGTAAGTCGCAGTTGTGCTATGTCATGCCTAATTATCTCTCCCTAATACTTCTTAGGCCCACGTCTACCTCTTCTCAAACACACTATGTCCAACCTCTCACATCTTCTTACTGAGGCATCTGGACATCCCCTCTTCATATGCTCAAACCATCTTAAACTTGCTTCTTGCATCTTGTCCACTAGGAGGCTCCACCTTGTCTCGAAATATCTTCATTCCAAATCTTATCTCTCGTAGCATGCCTGCACATCCATCTCAGCATCCTCATTTTTGCTCTTTGCATCTTCTGGACATAAAGAATTCTTGACTGACCAACACTCTACTCCATACAACATAGTTGGTCTAACAACCATTCTGTATAACTTACCTTTAAATTTTGACGGCACGTTCTTATCACACAAGACACCAGATGCTAGCTTCTATTTCATCCACCCGTTCCAATACGATGTGATTTCATTGTTGATCTCCCCGTTTCCTCGGATTATCGGTCCAAGATACTTAAAACTTTCTCTCATGGGATAACTTATGAATGAATCCTCACTTCCACGCAAGCCGTACGTCACTGAATATGCACTCCAAGTACTTTGTCTCAATGCTGCTCAACCTGAAGCCTTTCGGGTCCACGGTATGTCTCTAAATCTCCAGCCTAATGTTAATACTGGCTCGCGTATCAGTACTATGTCATCTGCAAATAATATCCATCATGACACCCCCTTGAATGTGATTCGTCAGTACATCCACCATCAAGACAAATAAAAATGGGCTAAGAGCTGATCCCTGGTGCAACTCCATCATGACTGAAAAGTGTCCCCTAGTTTCCTCCCATAATCCTTACCCTGGTTTTGGCTCCCTCGTGCATGTCCCTAATCTCCCTAGTATATTCTACATGTATACCTCTAGCCTCCAAACATTTCCATGGAACCTCTTTTGAGACTTTATTGTATACTTTTTCTAAGCCAATGTACACCATATTCAAGTCTTTCTTTCTCTCCCTATACTGCGCCACCAGTCTCCTGACAAGGTGGCTTCTGCAATCGATCGCGCGACATGAATTCAAACTGGTTCTAAAAAATAGGCACACTCTTTCTCACCTTTATCTTCACTACCCTCTACTAGACTTTAGTAGTATGGCTCAGAAAACGTTACTGGACAATTTTAATGTATAGTTTCAAAAATCCAGATAATTTTTAGGAGGTACAAATCTGAGGGAGTAACCTTACGTTATGGAACTTTTACAAGCTCGTGAATCCGATGGCGTAGAGCCACATCTATACTGTTACACCAACCTACAATTTTCATGATTTTGCAAATGTTTAGTCATCTAAACTAGGTCGTTAGAAAGTATAGACAACTTCATGTGCTAGAGGTTATTTCTTATTTTATTTTAGGCAAAATACATAAAGCGGTCACTTTAAATTGTCCTCAACAACTAAGCAGACATCTCGATTAAACTCATTTGCAGTTAGACATTCCACAAGTCACATGTCCAGCATATGAGAGTAGCAGAAATGAGAATGTTGAGATGGATGTATGGACACACTAGATTGTATAGAATTAGGAATGAAGTTATTCGGGACAAGGTGGGAGTGGCCCCTGTGGAGGCAAAGATGCGTGAGGCAAGGTTGAAATGGTTTGGGCATGTTAAGGGAGAAGCACAGATGCCCCAGTCAGGAGATATGAGAGGTTGGCCTTGGGAGGTGAGAGGAGGGGTAGAGGTAGATCTAAGAATCCTTGGGGTGAAGTGATCAGGTAGGACATGGTGCAGCTTGAGCTGACCGAGGAAATAACCCTAGATAGAAGGGTGTGGAGGTAGAAGATTATGGTGGAAGGTTAGAATATAGTCGGGCGTTTCCCTTTGTCTTCCCTAATTCGATAGCAT